AAGGAGGAAGGAGCTTGCAAAAGTCAAAGAAGCTCAAGATGTAAATTTTGTCGCTTATCTACGTGATAGTCAAGCTATTTTCACTCAAGAGTAGAAGACAATCATCAACCTAACAATCTAATAGGCTAAGAGTGTTTATGTGAAACATAAGAGTACTATCTACAACAAAGTATGTGAATGCACATCCAATTTGGAAGATTGGATACAACGTTGTTAAGACTTGGAGCATGAGAGCAATGCTATTGGAGAGATACAAAGATTTACTTTGGTGGGATCTACTTGGAATCATAGAAGTCGACGAGCAGGCATTGTTATTTTCATCAGATCTAAACTTCTTCCTATGATACATTTGAAAAGTCAGATATTGGAAAACAATATCATTGGTTTCGTCTTAGATTGATTACAATATCTTACAGTTATTTGATAGTTTGTTACTTCCCACCATTACCCATGCAGATGTACTTCACAAGCACTTGCAATTGAAGTCAACCATTCCATCAGCTCATAAGAGATGTTTTCAAATATCTAAACAAAGGTGAAGTTTTTCTTGTTGGAGACTTAAATATTCGCATACGTTCTGTTCAATTTACACAATTTGATGGTACCTTGTCTTCTCCCTCTTTTGAAGAAATTGGAAATAGTTTGTGGTTTAGAATATCTTGTGATCCTTCTACAAATGATTTGACTGAGCATTTTTTGGAGCCACATGTAATCTAAAAGTTCTTAATGGTGTTTTTTCTTTCCCAACTCCCATTCCAATACATATTTTTCCCCTACCGGCATTAGCACTATGGATTATCTTTTGTATTATGCCATTAATAGTTCATTTATCTCAACATTTGATATTCTAGAGTCTCAATCAGAATCAGATCATACAGCTCTTTTATTTATTCTTCTGATGTCAAAGTCAATTCCTTTCTCTACGTGTCACTATGTTTCTACTTTCCCCAAGTTTTGTTTAGATCCTAGTAAGAAGTAACTTTATAGTCAACATTTACAAGATCTTTTGACTCTTACTGCTTGAAGCCTTGATCCACATACATCTATTTTGCAACCAACCGAGTTGCTCAAAACCTCTGCTTCTAAGTTCTTTTTGAGACATAAGGTTTTCCTTGCAATGGATGGTTTGACTTTGATTGCAAGCAAGCAAAGGCGAGATCAATTGATTAATCCTTGGATCTTCACAATTGGCTTATTTTGACAAGACTTTACAAAGACTTGATGAAGTCTAAGAAACGAGCTTTTTTGAGGCGGAGGCAAGCGTGCTTAACAAAGAAGCTGTTGGAAAATTCCAAATCTTTTTGAAGGTGGTTGGCAGTATGATCTTCCAAATCTACTTTTGATCCCAAGTCTTTGGTTTCTTTTAATTTTTTTTCCAATGTTGCATCAATGCCACATTGTAGGAAAACTTGGCTTATTTTCTGAAGCTGAAGTGATGACTCAACTTAAACAATTGGCAAATGATAAATGTGAGGATTTGGATGGTATTTTGATTGAACTTCTCAAGTGGGGAGGAGATTTTATTGGGCCTCTACTTACTGAAGTGTTTGAAAATGCTGCTATCTATTAATTTCCTTCAACTTGATCTCCACGGGACATTGTTACTATTCACAAATTTGGAGGCAATGATTTGGTGACAAACTATTGGACTTTCATAGTGGGTAGTATTTTTGCAAGTTATTTGACAAATTGGTAGAGTCAAAGTTGAGCACATGGGTTGAATCTTGTCAGAAGAGAGAGCGATTCCAAGCTAGTTTTTGTTCTATATTCAACACTATAGACCAAATCTTGGTTTTGCGTGTTTTATGGAAGAAATTCAAGTGTAATGGAAAAGCTTTGTTTTGAGACTTCATTGATTTCAAGAAAGATTTTGCCATAGTATTTCGTGAGCTTTTATGGAAAAATTGCAAACCATCAGATCTCTTAGCAGCGGTGACCACATTATATCACTCCGTTCGGGCCAAAATCAACACTTCTCAAACCGAAGAGATTTTGAGTACCATTAAAGTCATTCAAGGTTGTACTCTCTCTCCTACATTCTTTGGAGTTTTCATAGATGATAAGGAAAGGTGGTTAGAGGATTGTGAAAGTGAAGGTGTAAAAATTGGAGGCTTTGTCATCAAAGCTCTTTTGTATTCAGATGATGTCATATACTAGCACGTGATGACATTAGTTTACAAATACACATTGACACTTTTGCTAGCTTTTGTACTCAAAATCCGATGGAGATCAATTTTGAGAAGTCAAAAATCATTATTGTGGGCACTAGATCCAAACTTTCTTTCTTTTACAAAGTATTAAAGTTGGAACAAGTGAAGAGTTATAAATATTTAGGCACTGATTTCTCCTACGATTATAGTTGGACACTTTGTGTGCAAAAGAGAGTAGAAGTTGGTTTCAAAGCTCTATATTCATTGCTAAGTAGATGTAGAGGAGCTCATCTAGTGTCTTGGAGTCTTAGAAGATTCTTATTTAGAAGCTTAATGTTTTCCGTTATCTTATATGGAACACGAGTGGGTTCCTGGTTGTAAGAAAACAGGATGGCAGCGTTTGGAGAGAGTGAGAAAGATCTTCTTACAAGAAGAATTAGGTGTGAGGACCCAAACTTCATATGCTATTCTTCTTGCGGAAATAAGTTTTCTACCTCTTGAGGCTGAAGTTCTTCTTTTGACTATCACTTACGTCAAAAGAGTGAGATCTCTTGATGCTTATCAACTTTCTCTTGAAGCTTTGTGTGCCACACGTTCCAAGAGATGGTTTACAGATGTGATGACTTGATCTTTGAGGTGGAATGTGACAAAACTTGGTTGGAATTTGCAACCTATGGCCCTTCGCGAGCGTATCAAGGAGTAATTTCTCAGCATTATTTGAAGCAGACGAGGCGCTAAAATGAAGTTTTATCAACTTCATGTGAATCATATACTTTTTTTTGTGAGCAAGTATACTTACTTGCAAAGATCTCTACATCTTTACGTCATATTATTGCTCGGCATAGAACATGATCTCATAGTCTTGGGATTGGAGAAAGGCGTTGGTTGAACATTGATAGGAGCGAACGTATTTGTAGACTATGTGATGGAAGAAAAGTTGAGGATGTGCTTATTACTTGTACTAGATATATTGAGATTAGAGTGGCTCATAAGATTGTTGTTGAGAATTTTTATACTTTATTGCAACTTGAGCCTTATGATTTAGGTTGTTTTATGAGAGATGTTATTAGTTTTTATTATAGTGCTCTGAGCACTAACTATGGAATTCTTTTGGTTCTCTACTCCTTTGGAGTTTGATTGTTTGTATTGAGTTTTTTAGCCTTTTGAGCCTTTGGGTCTCACGAGCTTGATTTATTTGACATTTATAATTCATTTATAGATATTTTTTAGCTTTGATCTTACCACATTGTGTGTTGCTTTCCTACAACTCTACGATATGATACACATAATGTAAGAGATTAATCTCAAGAGTCATAGAGTTTTGATCATAAATGTTCATGTTTTTTAACTTTTAATATTATCAATGACATGCATCAAGCATTTTTAGAACTTAAAGAAAATATGAAGTCATTATATCAAACTGCGGGATTTTTTGTGAAGTATGTACTGCATACAAATAATTGTATTTTGTTAGATCATTCATGGGTATTGTTTCAATGAAGATATGACACTTGTTTGAAAAGAATGATTTTACGCTACTGCTATTTGAATTTGTCCCTTTTTTGTGAAGTAGTAGCCTCATATTCTCACTTTAACATTACTATTATATTCAATACATGCTTTATGTCACTACATCATTATTGGAAACAATCTATAATGATTTTTGCTCATTCATTGGATCAAATTATTCAATTCTGCTCATTCTTTGAACCAAATCATCCAACCCATTTGATACATTGAGATCATGAAAACCCTCTATGCTCTCTTCGGATCTACTAGTATTACAACAAAGAAATTGCTTACTACTCAATAAGGTGTAAGATAGTGGATCTTCAGTCATCAATGCATAGCTTATTGCTAATCACTATGGTTTCTTTTCTTATGTTGGCTTGATCTAGCCATGTGTATATTGTTAGTCACATGTGAGTGTGATGCTAGGTTGTAATGAGTAAGATTTAAATGTATTTTCTTCATAAACTGAAATTTTTATTGTTTGTTTTGTCATAAGAAGATTAATGTATCACATAAAGAAAGTGTTGCATATCTTGGAATTGACTTGGATTAGATATAACCTACCATTGGTGTAAGAGTATCATATAAATGTTAAGAACATTGTGCTCATATAATACACATAATAAAAACATCTACAGGATGGACGGGGTATGACACGGCTATCTTCCAAGTTTTTATGTATGGGGTAGAAGATCAACTCTTTGTTTCTTCATATTTGTGATTATTTAAAATTATGAACAAGACTGTTGATCTCTCGCGAAATTCTACTATATTATCTTTAGATATGATTGCATTTAATGAAGTGTATTTTATATTAGACCAAATATATTTTATGCTGTTTACTAGGATCAGATTTAATTCATGTATACATACATCAATCCATAGGAGATTGTGTTGGCAATGATACTCGAACAATTTTATCTAGATAAATAGTATATGCAGAATGCAACAAGAGGTATTTTCCGGTGTGATGCTATTGGTGTAGCTGCGTACTGACCCTTCAGTTTCATCCCCATAGGCATGACATTATCATCCAATCCATTTCGTTTCATACTTCTACACTTTATTATTGCTCATTTCAGATGCAAACCAAGTGATGGAAAACCTATTCCTCGTTATCTTACAACGAAAAGCATTAGGATTCCATTACAAGGCAGTCGAAGGAGTGTTATTAAAATAACCTGGGGAAAAGACCGATCGCCAAATGAATGCAATGCAGAAAGACGAGTCAACAGAGGAGGAGAGAGAAGGTGTGGCCCAAGGCGGACGTGGTGAGCAGTCGAGAGCGAGGGACAGCGGGAGAAAGTACGAGCTATGGTGGAAAATGGTTCTGGTGGCCGGGTGCGAGCTTCTCGTGGAGGAAAGCCAAAGGCGAAAAGGCACGAGCCAATGCGAAAGCGCGATGCGGTCCCAGTTCACTCAATCGCGCGCTGGCGTCAGCAGCAGCAGCAGACCGCAGCTGCCGTGGTCTGACCGGATGGCAGCACATTCGGCGCTGCGAATTCTCCTGTGCACTGGGTGCCCATCGCGACGATCGCACCAATGGGACGGCGAGAACAAGTCCTCGCCCGTGGTTCTAGAATCTGACATTGTCCTTTCCTGCCGTGCTTTGTACTCTAGCTGGTTCTAGCTGGTCCCGGCGACCGGACCAGCACCCCGGAAGGCACTCGGCCGTGTGACGAGGCCTTCTCTGCTGTAGCTGCTCCGACCTTTCGGCCCTTTGTCCCGGAGCCGGAGTGCGCTCTCTGACGAACTGGATCAGACCAAATTCGAGTTTCGCCTCCTCCTTCGGCCCTCGTCCCTTGAACTCTGGGAAGTCCCGACGACGACAACAACGACGACAACGACGCCGGCGGCTCGTGAACCGAGTAACCGAGTGAGTGAGTGAGTGCGACTGCGTGAACGAGGATAAGCTCTGTGACGTCCGAGCGGGGGACGCGAGTGCAAGGTACGTACCACGAGCTGGAATTTATTGAGGGAGGGAGCGAGTGTCGTATTCTCGTCGAGCAGATGAGAGACTTGTTTTGAAAGCAGCTGCGGAAATTGACGTGATCGATTGATTGACAGACAGAACGACGGGGTTGTGGAGGAGTGGACGGTGAAATTGAAGGGCGAGCTCGAGCAATTGAGGTCGATACCTCGTGCGCGGCCCATGGCTATCACTGGCGGAGTTGTGAAGCTTGGGGGTGGATCTCTCGTCGCGGCGAATGAATTCTCTGCGCCTGTGAGGTTGGGCCAGAGGAATCACACTGGCAAGGCTTCTTGCTCCCGGTGTTCGAGGATCGCTTCCGCTTCCGTTAGCAGTGGCTCGGCGTCGTGGGGCAAGTCCGAACTAGCTGGCGCTGGGACCCTCTGTCTCGAAAATGCCAGTCTTTCGGCAGTCGGTGGTCCGCGCAAGCGGATGGTTGTTCGCAGCCAGACTGTGGCATCTCCGCCTTCCACCAAGCAGGTGACTGAACTGTCTTTCGATGGAATGCATCACGCTTGTCTTTTTCTGTTTTTGCTCCGTCTGTCAGCTGTTCTGATCGCTTAGTTGAGCAGTGTTCTCTTGTACTCAGCGGGCGAGTGGAAAAGAAAATGCTTCCTAGGAACGCAGTTCTACTGTTGGACTTGTTTGAATCCATTTTCGTGTTGAGAATTGCTGGTACTCAGGAGTGGCTGATACTCGCTTGCAGAGAGTTTACATCTTCGGCAAAGGAATCAGTCAGGGGAACAAGGGGATGAAGAGCTTGGTATGAACTCGGTTTTCCAGTTGAGCTCTGTCTCTTTGTTCGTAAAGCAACTGGATACTTTACTTTCGTCTGATGTATTGGAGATTTCCTTCGGTTTTATATCGATGACGTTCTGCGCGTCGTCAAATGGTGAAAATTTCCAGAAACAGTTACTGTACCTGATTTCTTCGCGTTGTGCAGCTCGGAGGAAAGGGAGCAAATTTAGCTGAAATGTCGAGCATTGGCCTGTCTGTACCACCTGGTTTGACAATTACCACAGAAACATGTCGTGAATACAATGAAAACGGTAACAAACTTCCGGCAGGTCTCTGGGAGGAGGTTTTGGAGGCTTTAAAGTCAACTGAAGAGATCATGCAAGCTTCGCTCGGAGACCCATCTCGCCCTCTTCTTCTGTCAGTTCGCTCTGGTGCCGCGGTCAGTAGTTCGCAGGAACCTGTCGTTTTCATTTGAACTGTATCGCATGATAATCTCATTATATAAGTCTCAGCATGGATGACCAGAATGATGCAATTTCATAACTAAGAATATTCTATATTGTATTTGAGACTGTCTGCGTTGTGAACAGTCTCTACAACAGCAGATTACAAGTTCTATTCCATGCAGATTGTGGAACAGAGGCAACTGATTATGTTGTGAAGCTCGTAATCGGCTTCCGTCGTGAATAAGATGCTGGTGATATGCATGTTTGATGGACAAATCTTGTGGTATTGCATCTGCAGGTCTCGATGCCTGGTATGATGGATACTGTCTTGAATTTGGGTCTGAACGATGAAGTTGTGGCGGGACTTAGCGCTCGAAGTGGAGAGAGATTCGCATATGATTCTTATCGACGATTTATCGACATGTTTGCGGATGTGGTTTGTGAAATCTACTCCTGACTAGGAACTGACGACATCTTGTTCTACTGGTTCGATTGGACTTTTGTTCAGAAAGTTTTTAAAATGTCCAACAGATGTGAAGATGTACATTCTTATTGAGAGTTGCAGTGTGTCTGATCCACGTCATTTGCTAAATTTTCTACTAGTTTTACAAATCCAGCAGCTGAACGATACCTCTGGTTATGTGTTTCTTCAGGTCATGGGTGTATCACATTCATTGTTTGAACACGAGCTGGAAACCATGAAGTCTTCGAAAGGGGTGACCCTCGACACAGATCTGACTACCGAAGACTTGAAAGCACTGGTGCAGAAATACAAGGAAGTGTACAGGGCTGCCAAGGGTAGTGATTTCCCCACAGGTGATCTACTCAAGCTGATTCCTGATAGCAGATTCCAGGGCAATGATAGTATCATGGGAATCTAGAACTCTCCTGCACAATTGATGAGACCTGGTAGTATAGATTGTGCACAATCAGAATCAGACTCAAGAACTAATGCTGAAATTTGGGAACATGCAGATCCTCTTGAGCAGATGAGATTAGCTGTCCTTGCTGTCTTCGACTCCTGGAACAGTCCGCGTGCAGTAAAGTATCGAAGCATTAACCAGATTAGTGGTCTCCAAGGCACAGCTGTCAATGTACAAGCCATGGTTTTTGGAAACATGGGACCCACTTCAGGCACAGGTGTATTGTTCACGCGTAATCCGAGTACTGGAGAAAAGAAGCTATACGGGGAGTACCTTATTAATGCTCAGGTCAGTCTTTCCCCCCTCTCAGTTTCTTCATAAGAGCTGGACAGACCGTACTCACTAGAATGTAGCTTCCAGTTATCAATCAACAAGCCCTTTACTTGCTCATCCTCCTGTAAGGTTTGTTGGTCCCCGAAGACTTACTCATAATAGCAGCCTTGATTCATTGCACGCAGATTTTTGAGACTGTTGTTAGTAAATGTGGAGGATGCTTAGCATGACGTTGATGCCTTGGTATGCTATCTGGTCTCTCAGTGTCTTACAAAGTGTTGTGGTCTTGAAGGGGGAAGATGTTGTTGCCGGTATACGAACCCCTGAGGATATTGATACAATGAGGCAAGCTCTACCTGATGCTTATCAGGAGCTGATTGACAACTGTGACATCCTTGAGAACCACTACAAAGACATGATGGTGAGAGTAATTAAATCTTTTCATTCTTTTGTCCCGTATCACTGATGATTATTGGTGGGTCATACAAAGGTTGATGACATTGACATACAAAAGTCCGTGATTCTCATAGCCAAGAACTCATGGTCCCTAAGCGGTTCACTATATCAACCTACTATTTTGATACAGTGTATAACGGCTATAATAATAGACTGAATTTTGTTCATGCAGGACATTGAGTTCACAGTCCAGGAGGGCAGGTTGTGGATGTTGCAGTGTAGAAGTGGCAAACGAACAGGCGCTGGAGCAGTCAGAATTGCTGTTGAAGTGGTCAAAGAGGGTCTTGTTGATTCTCGTTCTGCTATCAATATGGTTGAGCCCCAGCATTTAGACCAGCTTCTGCATCCCCAGGTCAGTGCCATGACAGCCCAACATGGTATCTCTTACTTTAATTTGCTGCGCTAGGAATCGTTTTCGCTGGTTAACTGAAGAAAGTCTTACGTAGTTTAATCCGGTCTTCTATTCTCAATATTTTTAGAAGTTTTTGTGTGTATGTGTAAGATATAACTGACAGAGAGTGCTAGATAAGCATCGAGTGCCAACCTGGGCAACGTGTTGTGATCGCGTCTGGAGAAACTGACATTCTGAGGCCTTAAATTGCTGTACACAATGCAGTTTGAGAATCCAGCAGTATATAAGAATAGTGTAATAGCTACGGGTCTACCAGCATCTCCTGGAGCCGCAGTAGGCCAAATCGTTTTTACTGCTGAGGATGCGGAGGCTTGGCATGCACAAGGCAAGCCTACGATTCTGGTAATAGACCAAACTTTTCGATATTTCTTGTCTGTTCTGTCTGTTGTGTAAATTAGAAATACCGTTCTTTAATTCAGTTCTGTACGTAGCCTTTCCGAAGATCTTGTTCTGCATGGCGGTAAGGTAGGTTGTCATTGAAATTTTCGGAGATAGTTTTTGAAGGACATAGATTCGTTGTTTGGCATCAAATGGTCCAGTTATCAGCACATGAGAAGCTCTTTCGATCAAATTGCGAACTTGCACATTTGTGGTTTTAGGTGCGAAATGAAACTAGTCCGGAGGATGTTGGAGGTATGCATGCGGCGGCTGGTATTCTTACTGCCCGGGGTGGCATGACCTCGCATGCTGCAGTGGTTGCCCGCGGTTGGGGAAAGTGCTGTGTTTCAGGATGCTCTGAAATACGTGTCAACGAAAACAACAAGGTTAGTATTTGTTTTTGGGATACTGAAAGAGATGGGCTGAGCCATTGAGTTTCGCTTTGAATAGTTCCTTATAATTATATACTCGGAAGTGCTTGGAACAGCGATATCGCTTGGCGCAAGCATACAGAGTTGGCATATGTTGTATCACATTCAGTCTCTCTGTAGTATTCACTGCCCGGTCGGTTCATGTCAGTTGATGCACGATCAGATTGAAGCTGGTTTCCAAGCAACCAGTCCTTCGGATCTCAAGCCAGCGCTATCAATCATGTGCACAGACTGAGTTCCCGATCTCAGTACACATGTCTCTTGGTAGCGGAAACAACACGAACTAACAGTATTCATTCTTAAGACGTCGACCCTTATACTTATAAAAGGGGAAAGGTTTATAGAACTTGATTCTTCACAAAATTCAACTCTTCATGTTTATCTGAAAATCAAGTTTCTTTTAGGTATTCTTTCAAAGCATGATAATCTTTTGTACAATGACACGTACAGACCTTGTCAGCTGGTGTGCACACTCTTTACGAGGGAGACTGGATTTCACTCAATGGGACGACCGGAGAAGTTATTTCTGGAAAGCAGCCGCTAGCACCGCCGGCTATCAGTGGAGATCTGGGAGAGTTCATGAGCTGGGTCGATGAAGCTCGGCTTCTTAAGGTTCGTGCCATCTTCAGCTACAGATTCTTAGTTTTTATTGCCAACCATATATAAGTTTTAAAGATAGCAATCGTGACATCAAAGTGCAAAGGTTTTAAGGTCTTTAAGATGATAAAAGACTTATTAGTTCTTCTCCATGATGGCTTCAAAATAGATTTCAAATTTCTACACCGTCGCGCTGGTGTGATTTCAGTATTACACGACAGTTAGTATATGATTCTGCAACAATTGAATTGGAATTTTAACGATTCGGTAAGTATTTCCAGGTTATGGCGAATGCCGACACACCAGAAGATGCTCTGGCTGCTAGAAACAATGGAGCTCAAGGAATCGGTCTTTGTCGAACTGAGCATATGGTACGTTTGCTGGCTACTCATGAGTAGCCAGCTTCTACAGCTTCAAGTGGTGATTGCCAAGACTCCATTTGTGCTCACAATATGTGATAAGGAATGAATATATTGAGTGGAGTGTGTAAACTTGTTTACACCCTCAATAACCCCATGTTAAGGTGACAGAGATGCCTGAATCTTTTTGTTTTTGTTGCTGGTGGAAACCAGTTTTTTGCATCCGATGACAGGATCAAAGCAGTTCGACAGATGATTATGGCAGCAGATGTCGAGCAACGTCTGGTTGCCCTTGACAAGCTTTTGCCTTACCAGCGTTCAGACTTTGAAGGCATCTTCCGCGTCATGGATGGTGGGTAGTTCTGAGACCATTAGTCATGACTTTTCTGGTGTGAAAACACGCCTCCTCGTATATGGTAGTGTGCAAAACGAAGTTCTGTAATGGCTAGTTCCAAAAATCAACGTAAGATTCCTATTCTTACTTACTCTAATGGATGGTAATGACTTGAAATCTAGACTTCAGTTTAAAAGTAGCTCAAATTTAAGGATCTGTACAAAGACTACCAATATTGGTCTGATCTCTGACAATACATCGTCATATTCAGGACTTCCTGTCACCATTCGTCTGTTAGATCCGCCTCTTCATGAGTTTCTACCCGAGGGTGACATTGAGGAGATTGTAGCCGAACTTGCAGCAGAAACAGGTGTGGAAGAGGAGGAGATTCTCAATCGGGTTGAAAAATTGTCGGAAGTGAATCCCATGTTAGGATTTCGTGGATGCAGGTAAGCTCCCTATCAGTAACATCTGTTTCGGATCTACTGGATATACCCTTTTCAGAATATAATCTGGAGCTGCCGTAACTTGGGCTCATCATGCTTTCCTGGAAGTTTTAAACAAATAGTTAAATTTTAATAATTCATTTCACATGAATGGTTTTGGCTGCCTACTTGTATGTTTAAGGTTGTACCCTTTTCAGGCTGTGTTAGGTGATCCTCAACTCGCCCGGAACTAAAGATATCAGGGCATATGCGGTTTGGAAGTAGTAATCCTCAGCACATATGAGCTATTATATACTATTGCTTAAACTCACTGATGCACACGTTGCTTATATACTGTTGCAACAGGCTTGGTATCTCATATCCAGAACTAACCGAAATGCAAGCAAGAGCCATCTTTCAAGCAGCTACTTCCATGGTCAACGAAGGAGTTACTGTGCTCCCAGAAATAATGGTCCCTCTGGTTGGAACACCTCAGGTGAATAACTTGACGTTCTCATTGGCACGCTTGTGTTAAGCCAGTTCATAACAGCATGTGACTGCGTCTTCCGTATGATATTCTCTCCGTCGTTAGCTTTAATTAGTATGGTGCTTATAAGCTATGGTAGCGACTTTCAGGAGTTGGCAGATCAGGTCGGAGTCATTCACAGGGTGGCCCAGAAAGTCTTCTCTGAGACCGGCACAACTTTGAAGTACAAGGTTGGGACCATGATCGAGATTCCTCGGGCAGCACTTGTTGCAGATCAGGTACAGTATCTTGACGATGGGTTTCCTGTTACGACTTCGAATGTGTTGTTTGTCATTGTTAGAGAGATGACCTCATCAAGATATATTTTATATTTTTATATATATATAAAAAATATGTCTTGTCGTGTTTACTCACGTTCGGATTCTTTACACGCTTGCAGATCGCACCGTACGCAGACTTCTTCTCCTTTGGTACAAATGACCTGACACAGATGACTTTCGGCTACAGTAGGGATGACGTGAGCAAGTTTTTGCCTATCTATATTGCTCAAGGCATCCTTCAACATGATCCCTTCGAGGTTCGTTCTCAAGACGCAATATCTTTCTTTTGGAATGCGGAGACTCTTACTGATCTATTTTTCCTTGAAATGCTGGACTCTTTAACACGCTGCCCAAACGCATGATACAGGTTCTTGATCAAGTTGGTGTTGGACAGCTCATCAAAATAGCAACAGAGCGCGGTCGCCAAGCTCGGCCTGATCTGAAGGTGATCGAGTTGATTTTGTTTTCGACTGCAATTATAAAATCTCTCGGATTTTTATCCAGAAAGCTCTTGGAAACGTCATTGACTCATATTGTTGACATGCAGGTGGGAGTTTGTGGAGAGCACGGAGGAGAGCCATCTTCCGTGGAATTCTTTGCAAGAGCTGGCCTCGATTACGTTTCCTGTTCTCCTTTCAGGTGCGCGATCTCTGTCTTGAAACAAGTTCCAACATCGTTGGATCCGTAGACGTTTCCTTTACACAACTCGACCATGAGACATGAGTTCATGCGTGCCATCCAAGAGAAATGAAGTTTTTTATGGGATGATACAGTGTTTGGGCTGACCTACTTTGAGCAAGCGCATCCCTTTTTTCTTCTAAGCAGTCAGACCGTTTCCTCTTTTAATTTTGCAGGGTTCCGATTGCGAGGCTGGCTGCCGCTCAGGCTGCAATCAAGTAATTTGTTGACACATCATCGGAAGATGCGCTTGTGCATCAAGGCTCCAGAATGGTTTTTGGCTTCAAATCTTCAAGGGGACCGTGACACCGAAGCAACTTGCTAACAGTTCTGGGAAGGTAGATTGTACAGCGATGCACCCGCCTGAGAGGGGGTTTCAGAGTGGAGTTCAGAGTTTGAAGCTATGTACAGATGGCAGTTGTCGAAGAAGTGTCAAACGTCGCAGCAGAGTTCTTCAATAACGTCCTTATAGATGTAACATTGCATCATATGTATCAAATTTTCCAAGGATTTCCCATTTCTACTATTGTCCGCACTGTACATGTGAATGGTTTGCTTGGGAGGTAATTTGCCTGGTTCGATGTTGAAATCTCCCGTTTGTTGGAGGATGATAGTGTGTAGAAGAAACGTGATATTACCATTGATTCTCGAATCGTGTTTCGAGTTCTACTTCTTTCGTTAGGGAAAGACTGTAGACCGATGTCTAACTTGTCCGTCCTACGGACAAGTTGCAATCATGAAGATACGCATGTAAGAGACGAAAATGACTTTGAAGTACTTGATGTAGATTGAATGTGTACACAAGTAGACTAGAGTAATATCACCCAATACTGAGAAACAGATGTTGTGAAAACAGTTTTGACAAGCTCTTGAAGAAATATCAGGCTTCCGTGCAACTTCTTGTGTAATATGTGTCACATGATTACTCTTGATGATCAGTTGTGTCCTGGAGCCTGTATTTCAGAGATGTTTTCCCTCCCGCCCTCATCCATTCTATGTTACTTTCGTTCTCTCACGTAAATCTCGGTGATTAAATGTTCAAGCTAGAACGTGATCATGTACATGCCCGAAAGCGACCGATGGTTTCGTGAATCTGAATCAATGGTTTAGATCCACGCTTACTTCTGGTCCTGGTCACGTATCTTACAAAGATCGGTTCGTAAAGACTAATTGTTCGTATCCACAAGCCAGGTGTCGATGTCAAGCACTATTGTACATTTGTCCGAGAATCTACCTTTCTCGAATAGCACTAGATCCGGCCAAGACTAACATTTTCTATCTAGATTAGACCAACATTGTACAAGCAATTTCATTCGGGGTGTTATTGTTCAATTATCAGAAAGCATACATAGATATATAGGAAACGGCTAGTTATCCCTCTGGTTGGGTTAATTATCCCTCGTAAATATTCTAATTCTAATAACTATAAGGATAACTCTAACCAATCACAGAACTCTGTTCAAATTGAAGTAGAACTAGCTCCTCCCTATATGTGTATATACACATGCATGGCAAAATATAATATTGAATACGTATCGTGTGTGTGTATATATATATATATATATATATATATATATAAAAAGGATTTGGTTTGTAGTTTTTCGTTCTCCAATTGAGCTTGTTTGATATGTAGTTATATAAATTTCTTTCAAGTGGTCTAAAATTGTAGCTTTTGGATCTTTACTGGTCATCATTGAAGAGCAAGTTAATTTCATTTTGTTTGATTGTATACTTGGGATTGAAATGAATATTCGCACAATCACTTTGTTTGCAGATGTTTTCAACCTCATTGAATCATAGTTCCTTTCCTAACTTTTTGGCCCTTTTAGATACAAGTCAGCTAGCTCTGCTGGGCGCATTGCTCTGGTGATGTACTTTGTCTTAGTTAAGACGTAACTGCATAGTTGCACCAAATCGTTACCCTCCACTTCATTTATTCACCGAAGCAAAACTCTACTTTTCCTCAGGCTGGACAAATGGATAACAGATTATGCAACCGGTTTGTGTTCTTCGTCTTTGGCAAGTTCCTCGAATGTTTAACTTCGATGGTTTCTGTCTGTCTTCCATTTCTCCTCCTTGTTCGGGAACCATTTGAAAACTTTTGGTTGGGAGGGATTGGAAACGAGCGTGCGTCACCGCAGGTGTGCACTTCCCTCCAGGTACGACGAGCCATTCTCTCCAAAAAAAAAAAACAGACTCTTGAGCATATTTCAAAGAGGCTGGCCAATCTGGACTTTACAGAGGGTCTACTGTCAGCAATGAATTATGTCAAGTCATACGAATTTATCGACTTTATGTAATAATATCGACTTTATCATTGTGAGGATGAAAACGGTTCATATATTCTATCCTTTTCAAGATCAATGCAAACATCTGTACGTAAGGTTTTGTAGACTATAAGCTTGTCCTGCCGTTTCAAATCAGCGGCAAAGTCCAATGTTAAATATACATACTTTTCATTGCCAGGCAGCGAGTCTAAAAGATGAGACATGATCCACATGGAAGTTGAAAAAGGTGTTGACTCAAGACACCCCACCACAGGAATTTGAAGTCAGATACCATGATGCAAACCCACATCATCTTTCAGGAAGGCCGATTTCGTTTTCGTTTCGATTCAGGAAGGCCTGGACAATTTAATGCGTAGGTGCACAAAACATCCACTAGAAAACACAGGAGCAACAAAAAACGAATATCAAACGTAAATGGTGGTCATCATTCTCGTGAAGAACAAAACCATTAGTCTAATCTTGGTGTCGGAAGATATAATCAAAGGACGTGTACACGTTTTTCTTAGTGTGTTTTAGCAAGCTGGGCCAGGGGAAACCAGCTGCAAGCCACCTGGGGCACCCAATTTTCGTTATAATGTGAAAGGCGGCTCGAAGAGGAGTCCTGAAACGAGGTGAAATGAAGACAAACTCTGTTATGTTCTTCCACCACTAGCACGCTAATAATTGTCCCAAGTGTAGTTTGTTTGTCGATATAGTCGTTTCTATTTGGCTTAGGTGTAAGGAATTGATCACGTGGAGAGTTATTCTTTGCTTTCGTGCTCCTCAAGTACCGGGATGGAGTATGAGATTCATGATTAAAGACAATCACGGGGAGCTGCATAATATGTGCACCAGCTTCGGTAAATATGTACGTATTTTTTGTTCCTCTTTGTAAATTTCTTTTCTCCAGGATTTCTCAGAAGAAGGACCTCGGGATCGAAGTTGATCTCTGAGCTTCTCGTTTACCAAAAATGACTTATTGTGAAATCGTGAAATGTGCTGCTTCCAATAATTGGCATGCATCATGTTATGTTCTTACGAAGCTCGAAAAAGGTAAACGAACCGTTCAAGACGCGATTTTTAATAAAAAGAGCTTCCTGCCTGCGTTTGCTTGTCTTTTGTACTAATTTCTGTCTCACTTTCTTAGGAATAATTAAGCAATATCTGTTCGTGATCAATCATGACAATTTTATTTTGTAATTAATCATTGCGTGAATAAATGTTTTACTGATTTCATTTTTTTAATGAGATAGGTGACCTAGGGAATATAGCATGAAGAACGTGAATATTTTGTCAACATGAACATGATATATATAGAAAAGGTAAACTATCACCAGATACCAATTGAAATACAACTCGTCAGGTTGTATTTAAATTTTGATGTGTTTTGTACCTTCAAAACATACTCATAAAAATTCATGCGTATTCATCCTATTGCTATAAAAAACTGCAACCAGTCACGTAATTCTCCATGTATGTAAGCTCTAACTGAATAATGAAGATAAATCTCATTGTCCAAGTGAATTGACAAAATTTATCGAATATCAAATATATACATGATTAAATTTAGAAATCCTTAATGCATCAAGTCAAAAAATTAAATATTTACTCAATTTTATAAAATACTTAGATGAGCGCTAGTAATAAAAATGCTATATTTAGAAAAAAAGAGAAAAAAAGAGAAAATTTGAAGATTTAAAAATGGGATATCATACTGTGTTGATTGATAATGAATAAGATTATCTTCCTTATAAACTTACCAAAATTTTTGTACAAATTTTAAAACACGTACTAATAATTTATTGTATTAATGATGTGATAAAAAAAATAGGTTTTAACTATTAAAGATTGAAAAAAAAAGATACGTTTAAAGATAATTAACCAATGTTCAAATGAATGAAAGATTAATATCAAAGAAAAGTTTATCAAATGTCTCATATAAATCATCATAAAACTTTTTATATGTAATATGTTTTTGGCGAATGCATTTCAAATGAAAATTTTCTTCTTTAGACATTGCATTCTAATTTTAGAGTTGATCAAGTTAATGGTTCATATGATTTGTAAAATAAAATAAAATAAAAGAAAATTCAGAAAAAATCAAAATTAATGTTATTATTAAAAAAATTGAATTCTGTGAATCATTCATCAAAGTAAATTATATCAATATTCAAAAGACTGAAGATAAAACAAGATATTGCGATTTTTTAGACCTTGGAGTGTTGAAAGTATTTATTTTAGTATAATAAGGCTGAAAAATAATGATAAAATTAAAATGGTGTTTAAAATCTTTATAATATTAGTTTTTCTAGGTAATTTGTCAAAAACTGAATCTCTTACCCTTTTTTGACTACAAACTGTTTTCTCTTGCATTCAATACAAAAACATATAAGATTAATTTATCAAATATTAAATCATTATGAAAAAAATTTGAATGTTTTTAATCATGTATCATTTTAGGAAATCCTATGAGGATGAATATGAGTTTTGGAAAAAAATATAAAAACAAGATAAAGATTTTTGGGAATGATTTTCAGAATTTTTATTCTTTAAGTACTACAATCTCATGATAGGAAAAGATTTTAAGATTTTCTAGTTTTCTTAATAAGACTGGCTATGTGCACTGTATAAAAAACGCATGCAAAGACATAAAGCGTATCAAGCTTCAAATACTTTAAATATTGATTCAATTAAAACGCATTTGAAATGTGGTATTTGCAAGCATGATTCTTAATCCATAAATTAAATTTTGGTCCCTAATATAAACCTAATATAATCCATATTTCAATTTTGAAAGCTAAATATAATATTTTCTGTCAAATATGCTTGTGTTCAACATAACTATCATCATAAAGATAAAATAACTATCACGGTAACTTGTCATGCTAATTAGTTTTTAATAGGAAAATATCATAGAATTTTATCATATCGTGATAACTTATCATGCTAGTGATTTTTTATAAAAAATCAAATCATATAATCTTATCATTAAGTACACAAGGCTACATATAAATAAACGTGAACTTGAAATACACTTTTTTCTAGGGTTAAACTGAAAAGTTATTGATAAGCTAATCAGCTTTACATTCCTTTTCAATTGTTTATAGAATGTGATGTACTGTAACAAAGAATAAAATATTGATGAAGTTTACATGATGCTCAAATGATAAGATTTAATGCAATCACATGCATTGGATCCTTTGAAGTGATCCAATGCTTATCAGTATGTTCTTTTCTCACATGAAATGTTACTAATTACGTCAACGTAAACGTTATCGTACAGAAGGATCCAAGCACCTCATTATGTGTATCCCGAAGATAAGTGAAGCTATAATCAAAACAGAAAATGACAATTATTTATGTTAGTGCATCATGCATTGCAAAACTTCATAGAATCAAAACTCCATCACATTTTATCTCATAGAAAAACTATGATGAAAATCAGATATCAAATATTGGAAATGAATTTTCATTTATCGAAATAAATGAAAATAATATAATTATAAGATACTTTCAATTCAAATATTTTTGTGATAAAAGTGGGGTTTTATACATAAAATTAA